ACCAGATGTAGGGCCTAGCTGGGCTGATCACAAGCAAGAACCAGCTTCAGCTGGCTGATCAGCTCCCCCCATCACCTTACACGAATTTTGGCTAATTCCAGTATCATCTACATTGGCGTTTTAAAATTTCTCTACCCTTGAAACCACCGTGATGGTTCTGAGACAACCATATAAAGTATGAAAAGGGGAGGGACCCCAATTCTAGAACTTACTGCCTAAATTCTTAGTAAAAGCCAAATCTTTGTCTTGACTATTCCTCCCCTTAATTAGTAAAACTAGGAAAAAAAATCTAAAACCACTTTTTTTTTTTTTGAGACAGAGCCTCAAGCTGTCCTCCTGGGTAGAGTGCCATGGCATCACAGCTCACAGCAACCTCCAACTCCTGGGCTCAAGCGAGTCTCCTGTCTCGGCCTCCCAAGTAGCTGGGAGGACAGGCGCCCGCCACAATGCCCGGCTATTTTTTGGTTGCAGCCGTCATTGTTGTTTGGCGGGCCTGGGCTGGATTTGAACCCGCCACCTCGGGTGTATGTGGCTGGCGCCTTAGCCACTTGAGCCACAGGCCCCAAGCCTAAAACTACTTCTTCTCAGTGCAGCGGCTCTCTTTCAAGCCTCCCGCTCTCTCTCTTGAGAAGATATTTTGTTTTCAATAAAAAGCTGTTACTTGCTCGGCTTATGTTGTGTGTCCTACGATTCTTTTATCAGGGATCACCAAGAATTGGAAAAACCTCCCCTCAGAGGCCAAGAACATTGACATCAGTTTCACGATTCCAGAAGAGGGAATGGAGAGAAAGTCATGTCATTGCTTAAGCTCCAGGGAAAGAAAGACGCAAAGAGCGAGAAACTATTTCTGTCCTCACATTACCCAATCCCAGAGGACCGTTTTGTGAACGACAGGAGTTACTTGAGATGGAGAAATCACATCACCTGAAAAACTGGCCCACCCTGCAACAGAGAGAATCTGGTGTCCCCTTGGGTGGTGCTCCTTACAGATTCCCTCGGGGTGTGTATGTAGTCTCGCATTTGAAGAGGGGGGACAAAGCCCCCGGTACAAGGCTGGTTGAATCTATGTCTATAACCCACCGGATTATAGACTCACCTTGGGTATTTTTTGGCTGGATAATTGGAGCAGACACCCAGACTTTTCCTACTAAGGGCCCCGGCCCTGAAGGTACCGGGGTGTGCTTATTAGCAGGCAAGACTTCCTAGCACATAAGTCACTTAGGACTGTGTCTAAGTAGTGACCAGCGGCTTGTTACTTTGTTGTCTATGGCCTCTTTCCATCAACCCACAAATTACAATTGCCAATATTCCCTTGAGAATAGCTGAAAAAGAGGGCGAGGGAGAAAGAGAGGGAGAGGGAGAGAGTGCGCGCTACACTTGGAAAGAAGATCGAAGATTGCCTTGTATTTTATTTACAACAGAATGTAAGAAAAGGAAGTTATTAACAATAATAAATAACTGGGGGGGGGCAGACATAGAACAGCCATAAAATGACACAGCAGGGTGGCATAAGTGAGGATCGACTTTTGTTTGCTTTGCTTGTCTATAACACTGTGCATTCCAACACTTGGTCCTCCAGCGATGGCAGTGGTATATTAAGTAACGCAACCAATCGAGATCCCAGCCTCCATGTAAACACTAGTAATGACACTTGAAGCTACATGTAAGTGGCATAGGTACAACATTGACTCAAAGAACCTCTTCTCGGAGATACACAGAGACTGAAGGGAGATTTGCAATTCAACAGACATGCTTTCAGTTTAAAGCAAAAACATCTAGAGGCTCACCCTAAAGCATGTTAATTTGACAACAAAAGGACAATTAACAATGGTATCTGAAAAGTTCCCGACGTAGTCACATTCTCTTATTGCACTAACTCCTAAAAAGCTTGAATGCTTAAATGTCAAATGCAAACAGATTGTAGAATACAGAAGAATCCGATGTTTTGCCTCCGCAGGTCAATGCTGTCCCGTGGTGTTAACACTCAGGTTTCAGCAAGAAGGAAGAGTTTCAAATAGTTTATTTAGGATCAAATTGCAGTCACTGGACAGATTTTTTTAATTTCAAGAACTGTGGCTCAGATGACAGTCTTCTAGCCTACTATGTCAGAGGATCAGAAAGGTACTAAAATTATTTAGACTCTTCCTAGACACTGGATTATCTGATTACACAATAGAATGTAGAGTCCAGTTATCCTCTGGCCCTTCTCAAAAGTAAAATTCCTGTTGACCTAAGCCAGCAAGTGACCTGTTACTTTGTAGTCTCTGAGCCATGAAGCAATGCTAAAAGAGAGTAGAATTTTAAAATACACATACACACATTTTTCCTAACATTTTCACAGAGAAGTGATTTGTCAAGAAGTGTCAGAATTGATTCTTTTAGTTCACTGTTTATTACAATGTCTTCGAGAAGACCCGCACAGTTACTTTGGGAGGTACTGTGTTTTTTAAGTGTGCGTAATATGTCTCCAACTGTGCTACTTAGGGATTTATTTTCACACACAAAAATGTGGCTAATCAATACCTCCAAATAAATTAAAACCATTTTCCCCTCACACAGATGCAAAACAGTAACAGAAGGGTTGATAAACTAGTTCACCAACGAACTCATATTGTTATGGTTCCAATAGTGGTAACTGACGATGTCACAGCCTTCTCCGTGGTTACTCTTTTCCTTTGCTTTGTCTTAACTACAGCCCAAAGTGGGAAGGTGAAATGATCCTCAGAAGTGATTTTTAACAAAGTTTATGCAACAAAACACCAAGATCTTCTCATCTCAGGAAAGCACAGCCAAAGCAAGAAGGCTGTGAGATAGTCAGTGAAAAGCACGAGGGTATTTCATATTTGAAATCCACCCACAGTAATGAAATTGACAGTCACTTTGATGGTCTCCACTAACATCAGGGATGAAGATGGGGGTGAACCTATGTATGATTCTATAGATTATTTATTTAAATTTGCCTATCAGAGACTTAAACTGATGGTGTCTGATTCACTATACTATATTTATATATATATATGTACACAGATATAATACAGTTTTGGTGAACAAAGTTGAAGGTTTCCATATCGCAGACAGAGGCACTGAGTTAAGGATTCTATTTTCCCCCAGACATGCTTAGCAAATTCAAGTTTCTGCTTCCCCCCCTAAATTTCCATCATGCAGCCATTTAATACCCATCTTTGTAAGAATTAATAATGTTCTATACACACGTTCATCACAGGCTTGTATCCCACCGTAACAAATTCATGTACGGAGGATGTGAAATGACACTTGCAGACCAAAATGCATCAAATATTGAAGTCATTTAGGCGTGGTGATGACTGGATTAAATAGAGCAGCTGCACGAGTATCTGCACCCCTCACCCCATAATGCACACATAGCACATACAGACAGAAACACTGAACACGGAGAGCACACACGTCTGTTGTGTAAGAGCCACACTGTCACGTGCAGCCTTGCAGTCGGCATCTGTGGCATTACACCGGCCGTCAAAGAAAGAAAACTCACCAAAGGAAATCGGGAATTAGCATTCTGAAGCCTATAGAATTATTGACCTTGACGGCAGAAGCTATTTTATGAAATGGGAGAATAGCGACAGTATTAATGGAAAAGACAAGGTACCAGATGTGTTAACAACCTGCGCGACATAAATTTGTTCTGTGTGAAAATGATCCCGCCCCGTACCCTGATGGCAGCTTGCAAATGGTAAGCAAATACACACACGGACTCGGTGTCCTCTGAAGGCAGCGTTTTGCTTTCTAAAGCCAAACCTTCTCATTAAGTCCTACTGTGTGGAGAGGGAGCCACTTTGAAGTCCCAAGGGGTTTGATAAAAGTTAAAAGTTTTCCCACAAGCAAAAATCATGCTTCTACACCATGCACAGAAGGTATTACGATGCGATCATTCTCAGGGAAGAGACGCGTTGTTCATCTAAGCTACTAGCGATGGGTTTCCTTTGAGCTCTGAGTTTGTTTATTTTTTAAGCTGAAGGTCAACGTAGGAAATGATCTTGATAGTCTGACCTATGACGTAGAACGCTTTGGTGCTGGGCTCTTGGGGCCAGCGCCTGCACCTTGGGAGAGTGGGTCAATCTAAAAAGACATTACCCAGAGTGCTGAGCACTGAGAGAGGGACTCAGGCAGGGTCCACTGGCTGAGAGGTTATGTGAGCAAAGGAGAAGAAGCCCCTTGGTCTGTTTTGTTTCCTTTGGAATCTGTTTTTGGGAAGGTCCCTTTCCTGAGATTGGAGGTTACGGTCAGGAAGGCTAGCTCAGGCACGGGCCTTGGAATTGCCTAATTACCTTGTCCTCTTTCTCTCTTGGAGGATAAAAATCAATGCTGAGATTCTGCTTGTCCTCCCTTCTATATTTAAAGGCAGTGAGGTGCAAAGGTGACAAATTTCTCTCTGAAGACCCAAGGACCATTCTCTTTCTGCCACTGTGATGAATGACCACTACTTACAGGAAAGGAGACTAGACAGAGGGACATGTATTATTACTCCTTCTTACTCTACAAATAGGAGTTAGGGATGACGCTCATTTTCTCCTCCCCTTTGACAGTGTTTACTTGATTTCTGTGACATTCCCCATATTTGGATTTCAAGTAAGAAGCAAACGAATGGCAGTCTTTTCTAAGGTCTGGTGGTAGGCAATCCATTCAAGGGAAGTCTGGATGTCACTAAGCGTATAAAACAAGGAGAGGAACAGGATCCAATTTTCTTTTTCCTGGTTCATGCACCAGACATTCTGATAGCGTTAGCGTACTCTACTCTTGAATTTGTTTGTACGGGCAAGTAGTCAATGAATTCTATTCAATTAATTGCAAATTCTGAGAACCTCAATGAATAATGGAAGCTGACAAGTCAAGGTTCGTTGGTGCCTGACATGAACCTCTTGGTTCCTAAACGAAACCATTGCAGAATCAGTCGCCTATGTTTACAATCACCCATGCAATTCGTAAAGATTTCTGAGGCCAGAAGGGCACAAAGGGGAAAGCTATTAAAAGACAGAAAGAAATGGAATCTTTATTAAATTCTGTGGAAGGTATAAAGTTATCATTAATTGCACTTGGAGCCTCGATAGGTTGATAATTCAAAGTTTCAAAAATGTAAGGAGTTTATTAGGCCCCAAATCCTGAGTCAGACTAACCAAAATAGGAATCTCAGTAACTACTGGTATTCAAGTATTGGTAATCAGCAGTTCAAAATTTAATAATTAGGTATCTTATGCCTGAGAGTATTTTAGAAAATTTCAGGTCTGATGGGAGGAAATTGACTTAACTGTTTTACCACACCTTGTAACAAAGTGGTGCAAAGTTTTCAATTGACTTAACCTTGAAGTCCATGCCAACCTTGTCAAATGGCCAATAACAAGGCTTCCTCCCTGGCTTCCAGCTGTGGCTACAGAAGATGCCTTTCGTCCTTATTACGTCTAATATGATGCTGTGTGGCGTACTTAGGGGATCATGTTATATGTGAAGTTAGGTAACCACATGCATTCTCAGGTTGAGGGAACATGTTTGGGTGACGAAGCAGTCTTTTCCCCTACCAGAAGTTTCTTTAAAAAACAAACGAATCCCCAAATAAAAATATAAAACCCCATGAGATATTCATATGTAGTTACTCTGATTTGGGCCGACATGGCTTATCTGAAGTGTGCATGCCAGGTAAATTCAGGGTGGCTTTTTTCTCAGGGTCTGGAAGTGTGAGAGTTTCTGGGGCTGATTTTTTCCGGGGCCGATCTTTGGGAACTGACAGAAATTCTGGTGCATCTGTGGAGAGAGGGGTCGACGGGGCGCTGGAAGGGGCACTGCGGACAGAGGACGGCAGCAGGGAGACACTGGAGATAGAAATGGCAGGTGGGAAAATGCCAATTTTCTTGTTGGTGGCTTCCTGAGTGGCGCGTTCAAATTCTCGGACTTCATCCAATGTCATGTCTTCAAAGAAAAAAACAGAAAGGACAACAAGAAGTTATTGACAAGGGATGCACAGGGACTCATCATTAGAGGAACTATGGGAAACCTACCCGGGGGCGGGGGGCCTCTCCAGATGACAAACCCAAATGATCACTGAAATACTAAACCCCAAAGATTTTCCAAAGCACTGTTCAGTGGGTACTTCAGGTGCACTGAGTAAGAACCTGACAGGAGCATCCAGAACTAGCATGGAGAAGTGTGTGCAGGTGTCTGTGTGTAGCGGTATGGTGTCAAGTATCTGGAACTATTATTGTTAGACCTGGTCATCTCTTCCGTAAAGGGAAGGTGATTAAAGCAATCAGTGGCCCTGAAATGATATAGATTATCGTCAACTTTAGATTACAAAAGAATAAGTATACCTTTCTAGGGTAAAGAGGTAAATCATCAAAATTTCTCAACACACCATTTCCTTATCCAATAAATAACCTTTTTGCATTCTGAGGGGCCGCAAAGAGGTTGCTGGTTTCCTGACCGTGTATTCATTCGGAGATCATTCAGAGTTGTGTTTTTATTAATTCGGCTTAAAGAAACACTGAAGATGACATCCTCGAGCCCTGCTAATTGTTCCACAGCCAAGAAAACAAAACCATTTCTCAAGGAAACTTAAAAAGACTAGAGGATGAAAAGAGAGGATCATTTAAGGAGCGAGGAGTTTCTTTAAAAGGAAGAAAGCATGATTTGGAATTCAACAAATAAGTCAGTGATGCCTCCTCTAATGGGAGTTATTAGATGATACAGATTTTTCCAGATACCTGAAATGTTCTTATTAAATGAGAAAAAGCAACATTTTTAAAAAATGTAAAACTTTCTCTAATGTATTATATATACTTATTACCTTTGAAATATAATATACTGACAATGTATCACTGTGTAACAATGCAGTGATTATTCCTTTCTCCAGTTCTATTTGTTCTTAGTAGCTTGCTATCTCTCCTCTCATTCTCAGAAACTCTGTAATGATTGTTATTATTCATTATTGTCAGTCTGACTACATCTGTTACATTTTTCCATTTTTATTTGCTAGAACAAGGATAACTGAGCTGATTAAAATAAGCACCAAGTCAAGGCCCAAGGCCCATCCTTAAGCAAAATGTGAAATCTGCATGGATTTTCTACACCTATATTGGCTTCCCAGAGTCCCATTATTCATTCTTTTTTGTTCTTTTCCACATACTTAGTAGTTGAAACTTCATCTGATTTTATTGCATAAATAAACTAGCATGAAACAATATAGCCACTTTGGAGATATTAAGTACGAATGAATATTCATAGCACAGTATTAATCATTAGATCTTATAATGTCTGAGCAAACCCCAAGTATCTTTCATAAAATGAAATCCTTTAGAGGATTTTCTGGAAACAATTATTAAAATTTTCTAGAGGGGAAACTTTTTTTTTTTTTTTTTTTTTTTGGTCGGGGCTGGGTTTGAACCTGCCACCTCCAGCATATGGGGTCGGTGCCCTACTCCTTTGGGCCACAGGCACCACCCAAGGGGAAACATTTTCATAAAGGAAATAGAAAATTATGATTGTGTGGTTATAAAATTCAGACTGTAT